AGGGTCGGTCCACATAACATGGTGAGAAAAATGCGGCATAATATTGCTCTATTATTTGTATACAAATTTACTTGTGCTTTGTACATTGCCAGATATTCCTCTAGATCATTCAAACCATTGTATTTTTCCAATATAAGCAGTTCCCAATTCTTCATGTATGTTATTGTGAATTTATTTGATGATTCTGGCGTACGACTTCAATTGTTGCTTCATTAGTGTGCTCTCACCTAGCATTCTCCTTGAAACATCTACTTACAATTTGCTTGGTGGCTTCGTATTATGTTTGGAGGGATTTCAGACTATGTTCGGGTTGACTCTTTGCGTTTTGTTCTGATTTTTAGATTATTGAATGTGTTTTGTTGGTCGATGCTAATGATTGATGGGTTCACGTTTTATCCAATCTGGCATTATCCTCTAATTGGAAATTTAGCCTACTTGATTTAGATTTTTGGTGAGAACTTTTGGTTCATTTTGTAGTGTTTGAAGCTTGGCTTAGCACCATTTGCATATCAACTCCAAAATTTCAACCCTTTTTGCTAAATTTGCTTGAGTTTAGCATCATTATGCTGTTGTAGGTTTTTTATTTCTTCATATTTTTCTTTTAACATTCGTTCATATGTTTCTTGAAACGATTAATGGTTGTAGGATTCATGGGATGAAAGAGATCACGAGGATCGTTTTATCAATGCTCCACGGTGAGTGCCCAATATTCTTTTTGAACTAGCGGAGATTGACAAGTGGATGCATGAAGATCGATGGACCAAATTTCTTTGGGAATAGCAAAAATCTACTTATAAAAGACATTATGCCGTTCAAGTCAGATTTTAGATAAGGAAATAGTATATTTAAAAATTGAGTGATAATATGAGATTTACTCCTTGATTGAGTCTTCTTATATAGGACCTAGAAGATAATATTAGCACAAAAGATAATAACTTATATGAAATAATAACATATAAAATATAATTAATAAAAAATAATGTGTAACAAGATAATTAGATAAATAAAGTGATTTTAATAGATTTAGACCAGAGTAAGTACATGTTAAGTTATTTACTTGTCTCCCTCCCTCCTTGCTTGTTTCATTCTTTATTCCTAATTTTTTTTTCTTTTTAAAATTTTTATATGTTCTAAATTTTATTTTTTTTATTATATTTTAGTATTTTTTATATTTATTTTTATCAATTAATTGTTAAAATGATGAAATATCAATAAAATTAATTTATTTTTTTATGTCGAGTATACTTATTGAAGTAAAAATAAAAAATATTAATAATTATATGAATTAAATATTTTGAATAAATTAAAAAAAAATAGTTATATTTGATATTAAATAGACTCTTTGTAAATTTATGAGTGAAATTTAAAGAAGTCTCGACTATATATATATATATATATATATATATATATATATATATATATATATATATATATATATATATATATATATATATATATATATATATATATATATATATACTCTCCAGTTTGATAATCTTGATTATAATTATCCCTAACTGTAATCTTTAGTTTTATAATTATGAATGGATGTTTCCTTTCCTTTCTGTTTTAGTTTTGGGTTAACTCAAAAGAAACACTAGTGCAAAAATGGCTTTTTACGTCAGGTATTTTAGGTTTTTTACGTCGCATTTAAGACTGACGTTAAAACGGGAGACGTAAATTTACGTCGGACCCTTAGCCTGACGTAAATTCACGTCAGTTATCGAGATCTGACGTTAATTTACGTTGCATTTACACTAAACAGACGTAAAAAGTATCAAAAATTAAAAAATTTGAAGCAAATTTACGTCACGTATTGTTATACGCGACGTAAATTTACGTCGCATATTGGTATACGCGACGTAAATTTGCTCCTTCTTTAAAAAAAATTGGGTTTATTTTGTCTTACAACCAAAACCTACAAATATATATTATAACCAAACAATCCAGAGGTTGAGGTTTCTTTAGCTATGTAATTAAAAAATATAATATTATATATAATTCAAACTACATAATAAAACAATATAATACAAACAATAACCTACAAACTAAAATCTATTACAAACTAAAAGTTAATACAAACTAAAAGTTAGTACAAACTAAACTACCTAAACTACATAATACACACAATATAATATAAACAATAACCTAAAAAATTAAGTACTAGAATTGTTGAACGAAAAACCTTGCCCATTATTCTCTAATTTGTGTGATATCATATTCCAGCAATGGAGATGAATCTTGAAATACCTGAAACATTAATTTGACTCTTGTAAACATGCAACACACATAAAGTTAAATAAACTTAACTAATGCTGAAAACAATTACCTCAGTCCAAGAATCAGTTATACCCGCACAAATTATGGCTCTCATCCAATACATAATATAGTAACGACATTCAAATGAGTCTGTTTGTTTATTACACTGAAATGATGAATAAAATATAATGTTATTTTCAAAATTTAAATACAAACAATAATTATGGTATTCACTTATTATAATAAGTTTCTAACCTTAGGATAAATGAACTGCAAAGTCTTTGTTCTGGGTTTTCCACTTAGAACATTAGTTATAGACACGATTCTAAATGAAAAAAGTCATATATTATTCAATACCTTTTCCATTTTCACTAGCAAATTTCAAAAATTCATCAATTCCCTTTTCGTACTCTTCACTAATACGACGTGCATTCATCCAACTTCGATTCATATTATGTTATAAAGTTTCAGTCACTCCTAGAGATTCAAAATTTATATTTAAAAAAATTAATATACAAACAACAAAACACGTATATGGAGTGTGTAAACCGAAAATGCACTCAAACAAAATAATGACATTCCAATAACAATCCAGTGGAGACATTCATACAATGACGTGATTGAGATCCCCAAAAACAATCACGGATTCAATTTGAACATATATCAGGAGACATAGAACACTAACCTCGAGTAAACACGAAAACGATTTCAAACTCGAATCTAATCGGGGAGAAATGTCAAATTCGTAAAATGAGATACAATGTTGATGTTTTTCACTGCCAAAATGATAAAAAATGGTGTGGAAAGATAGTTGTCATTGTCGTTCTCATTGTCGTTCTAAAAAACTCTTGCGGTGCGAGATGCGGGAGTGGGTCTGGAAGAGAATAAAAAGAACTTTTTACGTAGCACACCCTAACACGTGACGTAAAAAGCCTCTTTTACGTCGCGCACCCCCATGTGACGTAAAAAGTGATACTTTTTACATCGCGCACCCCCCACGTGACGTAAAAAGTATCACTTTTTACGTTGCGCACCTTCATGTGACGTAAAAAATGATACTTTTTACGTCGTGCACCCCCCACGTGACGTAAAAAGTATCACTTTTTATGTCGCGCACACCCCACACGACTTAAAAAACTCTCTTTTACGTCGTGCTGTATTAGGTGCGACGTAAAAGAGGTTTTTAACGTCACCTCCTACAATATGCAACGTAAAAGTTTCACCTCTTATTTAGAAAATTGTCACCGCGTTTTATTTACATAGAATATTTTGACATGCGACGACAATTAGGTGACGTAAAATGTCATTTTTACACTAGTGAAAGAATATGAAGATGATTAAAATTTGACAACGATGGCCACCAAATAGCCATTAAATGGGGTTCATGAGGACGAACACATATATGTGGCTATAGAGTGAACCTCTATCAGTTGTGGAAAGGGAAATCACGGGTAATCACTGGGTTTTGACACCTAAAGTGGACCACAGTTTTGTGAAGAAGGCAAAAGAAAAATAAAAGATGTGTTGCGTTTCATTTTCATATGTCACATATGACTCATTCGATATTCATCCCCGTAGCTTTTCTAATCAGTTATCTGGGTTGACTACGTGCACCTATAATTGCCACCCACTCAACAAAATAACCTATATAGCGCACACCATGCATGGCAACTCAAACTATTTTTCTTCATTGTTAAAATCAATTTATAATACAATTTTTTACCATATGGACATTTATATTTTCTGATGATGAATATTTTTAAAATCTGACTCTAAATAGGTGAAGATATATATTTATGATTTAAATATTCGATTGAATTTAATAAAACGATATAGTAAATATATAATAAATTTATTAATAATAATAATTTTTTATAAAAGAAAAAAATTACAATAATAAAAAAATTAGAAATATTAAATATAGTAAAAGAATAAAAAATTTATAATTATAAAAATAAAATCTAATATAATAAAATAACTATTATTTAAAGTTAATATAAAAAATATTATATCTTATATAAAAATATATCTTTTAAAAATTTGATCTTTAATTTTTTTTTATCAAAACAAATTTGACCAAAAAATTAAATTGAATTTTTTTAATTTTATATAGATTCAGCTAAAATATAATTATTCAAAAATAATACATTGATTTCTATTTTTAAAATGAGAGATAATGGTAATTTATTTTGTTTATATTGAAAATATAATAAAGTGAAGCCGAAGATGCAAATAATTTTCCAACAATTTATTGTCTGAATAAGAAAATATAGATTTAGTTTATTAAAAAAGGAAAATCATTCATATATAGTTTTGGTGATATAGTGAGAGAAATGAGTTAAAATAGCTAGTATTACTGAGAATTTAATATAAATCCGAAAGACGTAAAGCTTTGGGAAAAGTTAAACATAAAGTTAATAAACATACCAAACAGAAAAGGTTAATTTGTGGTATGATTGCGTCCACGAATCCGGATGAGGGTTGCAAATTGAGAGGAGGAGGTTGGGATATTTTTAGAGATCATGGTTGACGTACAAAGACGTCAATCTCATTCCTCAATCCGTACGCAGAGAGATTCACTAATAAACAAATTATATATATATATATATATATATATATGAAAAAAAATTTAATTAAACTAACAACTGAAGCAACAAAGATCACTTCATTTATAAACCAGTGCACGGTGCATGCCTCCATCCACGTCTATTATCAGTGAAGTGTGAGAAGTTTGGAGACAAATGCAGAGGATGTTGCTTAACGCATTTGCCAAATTACGACTTGTTCGTAAGGGTCCCTTGTGGCCGGTGTGTGTGTGAGACCATGTGCACGTGATGCCACACCACACCATCTAAACCCAACCAAAACCTCGGTTGAGTGTGGAGTATGACCTAAGCTACATATTGCTTGTTTCACTAGTGTTACACATGTGTTATGTTATCAAATGTACCTCTCAGTGTCATGTCATTTATTATAACACAACTTCAACTTTGATTCAAACTTGTAACTATGTCTTTGAGCCTACATGGTTGGTTCCGATTGTGGAATAAGGCACCGAAATAAACAACTTATAAAAAAACCTAACTTGTAAAGTAATGAAATGATAAGATTATAGTACTATGAACAACGTAGACGTAGTGAGATTTAGGTCAACGCGAACGGCAAGGTTGTCGGTCCCCATGGTGCATGCAGCCAAATACCAGACTTCATTGTACTGTAACTTTTGTAATGGGAAACCACTTTACCCCCGCTTTCGAAATTCTATATTATTTCGCACTCATCTGAAAAACGAGTCATGTATAACTGACTCTTAATTATAACCATGTATGTGTAGTGTACGTGAGTATGTTATGCACCATGGAGATGCACACACTTTTCTCTTCTCACATTATTGGTTAGGAAAAAGATGGCAATAATTAAGTATCTCATCTTTCCCTTTCTCTAGCTAGGACGGCTACTTAACCAAATTTACTCATAATTACTTCAAATTTTATTTCATAATTCATTTGTACAAGTTCGTTTATGAACCCAATAAACTACTCCATTCGATTTTTGTAAAAGAGATTGACATGTAAGTTTTATATCCTTGTTTTTTATCTAATAATTAAATAATATATATACATACATTTATATTCAGGTTATATTTTGATGTGGATATAATAATAATAATAATAATAATAATAATAATAATAATAATAATAACACAGGAAACGTCATATACTAGTTTATTAGATAAAAATGATTGTATTGGCTTTCTTTTTTTTACATAACAGACATTAAAAATAGATAAAAATTAGAGTAATATCAAATTTAAAATCGAACTCGCTAAACTGATTTGTAAAATTGGTTTTCGTTAAACTTAATTTGAGTTTTTAATGAGTTAATAATTTGAGTATATTATTTAGGTCCTTTTTTTTTTTTTTTTTTTTTTTTCAGTTTTTGCCATATTTATTTTCGGCCCTACCTTTTTCCCCTTCTAATGTTGGCTCCAAAAAGGAAGTGTAAGCAGAAGTGGCGTAGTGCAGTCAATACACCTTTCACTTGAGCGTAGTACAATTTTTTTTTTTTTTTACTTTATCATTTTAAAATATAGCATAATATGAATCAGTGTTTTATTACTTATATCTTTATATATATATATATATATATATATATATATATATATATATATTAGAAAGAAATTTATTACAGATAATAATATTAATTACATATTGAAATTACGAGATCTAATATCAAACAATACATAAAAAATACAAAATATTTATGCATTTGTAGATTAAAACTACGAAAAAAGTTTTATAGCACTTTATATATATATATATATATATATATATATATATATATATATATATATATATATATATAATACTTCATCAGTTCCTTAAATAAGAACATATTACTTGTTTTTCGTTAAATGTAAAAGATTAAAACTATAAATAATCTGGAACAGAGGTATTGACATAAAGTTTTTCTATTCTAATCTGATTTGAAAATATAAAGTTTTACGGTATTAAAAATCAATTATTTTTATATTTAAATATAACAAAAGTAATTTTGAAATAACAATACAAATTGCTAAAAAAATTATTTAAACTAATTTTCTTAAAAAAATAAATTAGTTGAAAAAATCTTAATAGTTTGTGTTTATTTGATGCATTGAAATTCAATATTGTATATTGAAATTGACAAATAGTTTGGAAACTTCATTTATAAGTTACCATTCGCTTGGTCAGGTCTGGCACGAGATAAGATAGATAAGGTGAAAAGGTCAAATTTATTACTGTACCGTACATCTAGCATGTGAACCGTGCCTTGTTGCTGGTTTCAAAAGTTGGGAAAATGTACACTACTCACGCCACCTACCTAGACCCTCACATTCTAAGTATTGCCATTTACCATCATATTATTAACTCTTCATGCTTCCACTTTACTCTTTACTCAATAACAAACAACTACTAATCATTTTTTTCCCATTCATTACTAATTATGTGCCCAACTTAGAGTAACTTGATGGGGCGAATCAGACAGATTCAGATATCGTGTTATCAATCGGCGAATCTGAATAAAAATGTGGTTTGGTTCAATTAAATTCAGTTGAGTTGATAAATTCTTACGACTTTGGCCGTGTAAGCAAGAAGTTGCTTTATGCCTCCCAGTCCTAGGACAAACTACCATTCCATGCTTCCCTTCAACTTTACGTGCATGGTAAGTGAACTTGGCCAATTTTAACTACAAACACACGCAGACAAATGAAGGAAATGCCCTTAAAAAAGAGAATAACAAAAGAAAAAAAAAGGGTCTGAGTGAACTTGGAAAGTTGGAACCTGCTGGCTCTTAACCAAATGTGACCCTAGTAATTATGTTCCCGCAACTTTTACGCTTTTCTTTTAAAAGGGACAAACGATGCTATTTGACTGCTTCAGCCTATTCTTTTAAGCCACGTACAACCGTATTAACCTGGCATTCAATTTTACAGTTTTGTAATTGAAGCCAACTTGTACCATTGGGCATGCAGAATTTTCTTAACGGGTCGATAAAAAAAAAACAAAAAAAACTAAGGAGAATATAGATAAGGTTAAGATGGGTAGTGGGTGGAACACAATCATTGCAATTCAAAAACCTCATCCCCACATAGGCCAGTGTATTGTGAATGGTGGGAAATATATCATACATCATGTGTGACATATATGTGTATCTCAAGGTCACTACCTATTTCAAGTATGACACACACATAGTATAGCCATTAGGCATCACTATTTATGTATCACAATTATTGTAAGACATGTAAGTTTGCTAAATAAGGTGGCAAATCAAACAAGTACTTGAGAGAATAAAGTTCTTAGAAAAATAACAAAATAGACGACCAAAAAGTGGGATTCGATTTGGCAAAGGTGGTTTTAGCGATGAAAACAAATACTAAAGCTCCAACCATTACACAGGAATAACGGGTGTTTTATTACTTAATTAATTGTACTCGTTGAATAAATCAAAATTAAGTTGGACAATATGCAGAAAATGTCTCAGAAGGACGCAAAGTCGGTGACTAACCCTTACCAAAGATCCTGCAATTGGCATGCCACTATTAATGCACTTTGTAATATATTGGTTCCTTTTCTTTCTTTTATTTATTATGACTTTCATACTTTAATGTGTGGTAGATGGCACGCCATCCAAATATTCATCTCAAAAATAAGAATAAGAAAAATAGATATATTCCTACTTTCTTTCTATATATTCTATAACTAATGTTTATCTGATTATTCACGTTTTCTATTATTTATATTTCTTTTAAGCTCTAACGTCAGTTTTAATTAAGTAAGTTATCCGAGGAGTTCCCTGCGTCACACGTTCATCCCTTAACATTTGCCTCTACTTATTAATGCTTATTTTTGCAAGTCAAAGCAAACAATGATAGAATAAAGTATTAGTTCCTAGGATGAATAATTTATTGTAATAATTTAAGAGGAAAATAATGGGTGAATTAAAACGTGATGGGAGCTAGAAAAGAACAAGTAGCGTAAATTTGTGTCATTCTCATTCCTGAATGTGGCCATAAAGTATAGTAGGAAGTAATTGGGATTTGTGAGATTTTAGCGTAACGAACCAAAAATGGGATTAAGGAGAGGGAACCAGTGTTAGGGTTATGATGTTGCTTAAACGCATTTGGCTGCTTCTTTCTTCTGCTTCGGGTCCCTTTCCTTCCTCGTATACCGAGCACATATATCCCACTCAGCCCTACACGTGCTGGACTTTGGCCCAGTGAGAAAATTTGAGTAGTTTTCAAGCCATCTAACATTCTCTGTTATTTTCACTTCCAAGAATTAATTATTATATTATGTCAGTTCACTACTCAAAGTCATTTTCCTTCTATTCTTGTGTGTATCATAATAATAATAATAATAATAATAATAATAATAATAATAATAATAATAATAATAATAATAATAAAGGTGTAGCATGAGCAATACATGGTCAAAAGTCAAATATGCAAAATTGGCTCATGTTATGGCTACCTACACTACACCCACTAATGTTTATCTTTTTAACTGTCATCATTCACAGTCAACAAACAGAAAATAATGTGGATAAAACAAAGTAAAGGAAGAAAATCTGAAGTAATAATGAACGGTAAAAAGCATTTGAAATTGAGTTTTGTTCCCTCTCTTGATTCGGAGGTGTCAAAACTAATGGTATTGCACAAGCATAAGCAAAAAGCTTTGCAGTTGAAAATTGAGAAACCGATGCTTAATTGCTTGGTGCCGGCTATTCTTGGGACACCCTTTACGTGAATGGTAAGTGAAGTTAACCTCACCCCAATTATCTTATCATGCAAGTGTTAACAGCTGTGTTTTTTGAGAACGAGGGTTTAATATCATTTTGGGCTTCACATTTACAGCTAAGTTATACTTACCTTAATTTTTATTTTATTTAACTTGGAAGGGTTAACTTCATCTTTAATCGAATCAAGATCAAGAACTTCTGTCATTACACAATTAGGTTTAAATTTCTTACCAAGTTATGTTGATTAGTTGTTCACGTTAAGGATATATAATGCCACTCTACTTTGCTTCTCTAAACATAAATGCGTGTCATTAGCTTTATTTCAAATAACAAATGCATCTAATGATCTATCCACAATAGGAGCAATTGGGAGTAGTAAAAATAGCACTGAATAACCATTTCATGGTATTCGTTATTAGAGCATGAAAATAATATATACACACATATAATTGTTTTATAATAAATATTATCGTTTAGTTAACAATTAAGAGATTGATAAAAATATTGATTAGGATATTATTTCTTTAAAAACATCTTTCAAGTTTATTAAATTAATAGAATATTATTTTTATTGAAAAAATTAAATATTATACTATATATACTTATTTTAATTGAATAGATTTAAATATTAATTAACAAAATCAACGTCTTTTGATAAAATAGTATATTAAAATATTCATTTCATTAGAAGTAAATGGTCATTATATGAAATAAAAAAGAGTATAATCACTCATTTTGATCCTACTACAACTAAAAAGTTTACAAATTTGACTCTATATTGTTATTTTTACTCCCTAAATAAGTAAATTTAATGCACACGTGCAATACATTTTTTTAAACTAAATTATCTCTGTATTCTATAATTAGCATTTGTAAATAATACAAATTAGAGATTTAGAATAACATATTTTTAGCAAACTCACCAATAAATTTATTGTTTTTGTCCCACATCAACATATGAAACAACTTTAAGTTCCTCTCCTTGTTTTGTTTTGTTTTGTTTTTTTTCTAATTTCCTTTTTCTATCTTCTACCTTCACTACAAGAAAAAAACATTTTAGCGATCGAAAAAATCGGTCGCTAATGTCAAAAAATCGGTTGCTAATCGGTTAGCGACCGAAATTAGCAACCGAAATGCGTCAGTCGTAAAAAGTCAATTCGCAAATGTGTTAGCGATCGATTTTCATTTCGATCGTAAAATAGCGACCGATTTTATTTCGGTCGCAAAATAGCGACCGAAATTAATATATCAAATTGGTCGCTAAATCGGTGACAAAGTTAAAAAATAGCAACCGATTTACATCGGTCGCTAAATCAATGAAAAAGTTAAAAAAATAGCAAGCTGATTTAAATCGATCGCTAAATCAATGATAATGTTAAAAAAATAGCGATCGATTTAAATCGATCGCTAAATCAATAACAAAATTAATTATTTTTATTTATTTACATTTTAAATTATATTTATTATTTATTTCCCCTACCCGATACATTAGAATTGGAGGTCGAAACTCCAACCACTGAGCTACTAGGATTTTTTAATAATAACTTACAAATAAATTATATTTATATACAAATAAATGTATATCCAGTATAAATATATAAATATAAAATCTATAAATAAAAATATATTTTAATATATATTTAAATATTAATACATTGATATATTTAAATATTGATATATTTATATATTTATATATTGATATATTTATAAATTGATATATTTATATATTTATATCTTTATATTTTTATATATATTTATATATTTATATCTTTATATTTTTACATATATTTATATCTTTCCATATTTATATATTTATATATAAATATATAAAGATATTAGTTTTGTATACAAATAATATTATAATATAGTATATTATACTATTAGTATAGTATACAAATTATATATTAGTATAGGATAGTATACAAATTATTAGTTTTGTAATTTATACACTATAAAAATAAATTACAAATATTATAACATAATGGTATATTAATATAATATAATATATTTGTATTCTAATTTTTAATTAAACTAAAATTACGCTAATAATGTATAATAATATATGAGGGGATAATATTGATATATTGATATATATATATATATATATATATATATATATTTATATATTTATATAATGATATATTTATATATTAATATATTTATATTTTGATATATATATATATATATATATTGATATATTTATATATTTATTTATATCCTTATACATTTATATCTTTATATATTTGAAAAAAAAATAAAAATTTAAATATTAAATTTTAAAAATAATATTATATTTTTAAAAATAAATATTAGAAAAAGATTTAAAAATATATATAAATTATATTTACATGTACAAAATATTAAAGATATATATTTATATCTTTACATATTTATATCTTTATATCTTTATATTTTATATCTTTATATCTTTACATATATTTATATCTTTATATCTTTATATCTTTACATATATTTATATCTTTATATATTTACATCTTTTTATATATATATATATATATATATATATATATTTATATTTATATCTTTATATATTTATAAAATCTATAGATACAAATATATTTATATATTTTAATATATATTTAAATATTGATATATTGATATATTGGTATATTGATATATTTATATATTGATATATTGATATATTGATATATTTATATATTTACATATTTATATATTTATATATTTACATATTTATATATTTATATATTTATATATTTATATATTTATATACTAATATACCATTATATTATTTTCATTGTATATAAATTACAAAACTAATAATTTTTAAAAAATTTAATGATAATTTTTTTAACTTATATATTACAAAATATTTTTTAATACTTTAATAAATATAACTTTTTTCAAATATTTTTTAATAACTTTAATAAAAGTATAATTAAAAGTATAATTTTTTCAAATAATTTTTTATAATCGATTAATTTTTTCAAATTGGATAATTTTTTCAAATAATTTTTTCATATTGGATAAATTTTTCAAATAATTAATTATAATCGATTATTTTTCTAAATAATTGATTAGAATTGATTAGTTTTTCAAATAATAGATTATAATTGATTAATTTCTCAAATATATATTAAAAAATTATAAATAAAAATATAAATTATTTAAGAATATTAATTATTGTAAACATAAAGTAGAAGATGGGAGGAGATGAGGATGATAATATAATGATGGAATTGACAAAAATGCAGAATTGAGAAGTTAAAAAAAGAAAATAGAGATTTAATTATACTTTTAATAAATTTAAGATAATACTAGTTTTGATTTTTATTTTTAAATATTTATTTTAATTTTTTAAAATAGAGAAACTATAATTTTAGTTTCTAAATACTAAATTTAAAGAATTAAATTTATTATTATTTAATCTTTTAATTTTAGTATTAAAAATTTAATTTATATTTTATTAAATTAAAATAATTACAATATATTTTTCTACTTTGAGAATGAAAAATATAATTAAACTAAAACTGAAAATATTATAATATATTTTTGAACTCTTTTTGATTAATTTTTTTCCTAATTTTTTATAAAGTCAATTTTAATATTTAAAAGTATTTAACATTTTGATTTCTGAAACTTTTTCTCGTATTACCAAATTTAAAAACATAATATTCAAAAAAATAGTTAATGTAAGTTTTGATGATGATCGATTAAATTTTCAAATGATCGATCATATTTGAAACTATATAATAGTGGTTCCACGTTAACTCGCTATCTAAACTATATTTTAGATAGCGTTTAAGGTTTAACCGCTTATTAGATATTCTGTTTTAAGAGCGGTTCAAGTGGAACCGCTTATCATATACAACCATTATGATCGATTACATTTTCAAATAATCGATCATATTGGATAATTTTTTCAAATAATTAATTATAATCGATTAGTTTTCTAAATAATTGATTAGAATTGATTAGTTTTTCAAATAATAGATTATATTTGATTAATTTCTCAAATATATATTAAAAAATTATAAATAAAAATATAAATTATTTAAGAATATTAATTATTGTAAACATAAAGTAGAAGATGGGAGGAGATGATGATGATAATATAATGATCAAATTGACAAAAATGTAGAATTGAGAAGTTAAAAAAGAAAATAGAGATTTAATTATACTTTTAATAAATTTAAGATAATATTAGTTTTGATTTTTATTTTTAAATATTTATTTTAATTTTTTAAAACAGAGAAATTATAATTTTAGTTTCTAAATACTAAATATTGGATGAAATATTTTTAATTATATTTAATTAAATACTATAATTAAATAATTTTTATAAAAAAGTATTTATAATTATTTTGATTAAATTATTATAATTATTTTAATAAAAATAGAGATTTAATTATACTTTTAATTATAATTATTTACTATAATTATTTATTATACTTTTAATTATACTTTTAATTATAGTTATAATTATACTTTTAATTACTTTTATATATAATTATTTATAATTACTTTTAATTATTATAAATCATTAATTTTATAGTTATAATTATTTATTAAAAGTATAATTAAATCTCTTTTTTATAAAATAATTAAATTCTCTGTTTTAATTATATAATTTTTTTTAATTATATAATTATTGGATAAAATAATTATTTATAATACTTTTTTAGTATATTATGTTTTTAAATTTGTTAATAGAGAAAAAGTTTCAGAATTCAAAATGTTAAATACTTTTAAATACTAAAATTGACTTTATAAAAAATTAGGAAAAAAATAATTAATCCAAAAATATAATAATGATAAAAATATTATAAAAAAGAGTTCAAAAATGTATTATAATATTTTCAGTTTTAGTTTAATTATATTTTTAATTCTCAAAGTAGAAAAATATATTGTAATTATTTTAATTTAACAAAATATAATTTAGATTTTTAATACTAAAATTAAAATATTAAATAATAATAAATTTAATTCTTTAAATTTAGTATTTAGAAACCAAAATTATAGTTTCTCTCTTTTAAAAAAATTAAAATAAATATTTAAAAATAAAAATAAAAACTAGTATTATCTTAAATTTATTAAAAGTATAATTAAATCTCTATTTTCTTATGCAATTTTAGAAATTTTTTAATGAAAATTCAATATATAAAAAAGTTACAATTTTAAAAAGGTACAACCTTAATTTATATTAACTATTTTTAATATAAATTTAAATATATGTTGAATATAAATTTTAAAAAGGCACAACCTTAACTATGTTGAATATAAATTTAAATATATTTTTCATTTATTTAAATATGGTTTATTTTTAGTATTTATAAAATAGATTAATTTTAAAATTTTAATATTTTTTATTAATTATGTTAAAAATAAAAAATATTAATTAGTATACTTAAACTAAAAAATATTTTAACTAAAGATAAATATATTTTTATAAATAGTTTAATTAAATAATATATTTATTATCTAATGTATATTGATATAATTTTTTTTGGTATATCAATTATATGACAACAATCATGATTAAGTAATTAATAATAATAAAGCAATAAATTTAAAAATTAGATTAAAAATAAAGTATTATAAAATAAAATTGTAATAATTTGATTAAAATTGTATTTTTTTAATTAATTAAGTTAATGAGGAATTAAAGTGTGATAATTTGATGTGTTTAATTTTTTTAATATAGATTTTTAAAATATAATTTAATTTCAATTGAAATTTTCAATTGAAAAATAAATTAAAGAATATTTGTTATTAAACTTTTCTTAAACAATGTATTGAATAGTTAATATCACTCTAGTCTTAATTTATTACAATTTAAATTTTTAATAAATTTGATTTATTACAATTTATTTTGTTAATATTGAGATCAAAATTTATTTTTAAAGTATATTTTAAACATTAAATTATTTTTAAAAAATAAATTACTTTTAAAAAATAAATTGTAAAAAATATACTAAAACAATTAAAGTATATTTATAAAAAAATAAATTTAAATATAATAAAAAAATAATATTCATTAGCGACCGATTTTAATTCGGTCACTATTTCAATTTGTAATTCTAGTCGCTAAATCAGTCGCTAAATGATTTTTTTATTTTAGTATGGAATAGCCACCGATTTAGTGATCGAAATTTTGCGACGCAAAATATTGGTCGCTATTTCGATCGCTAAATAAAAAAGTGAAACCAAATCATATTTTGGTGGCTAATTCGGTCGCTAAATTGCGACCGAATTAACTTGGTCGCTAAATCGGTCGCTAATTGCGACCGAATTAAAGTGGTCGTTAAATTGGTTACTAATTGCGACCGAATTAAATTGGTCGCTAATTGCGACCAAAATTAAATCGATCACTAAATCGAGTCAGCTAATTGCGACCGAAAAATTCGATCGCTAATTTCGATGACTAAATGTGTTTTTTCTTGTAGTACCTCCTTTGCTTCTTTTCTGTCGTTTTTCTCTTTATTTTTTTCTTTTGTTATCTTTGACAATTTCACAACAGAGATGGAGAAAAAGGGAAAAAGAAAGAAGGGTTAAGACAAGGAAGAAGAATGGTGGACTTTGTCTTATAAAATCATTTTCAAAAAAGTGCTTAGTGAAGAAATATGTATATTTTTTACTGATATCCTTTTGAAAAAAAATAAGAAAAAACTTCTAATAGTTTAACAGCATCATAAAGCTAACAAAGTGGAAAACAACATAATGAAAAGACCAAAACACATAAATTTGCTCATCCAATAATTAAAACTGACAAATATTTCGTTTAGGGTTACGATTTACAAGTATTATAGGTTTAGGGTTACAATTTACGTAGGGGTCAAACTAAGTACATGAGGAACAAATGAGAGAATTTTTTATCTCAAATTTGTTTAAAATTTAAAATTATTAAGTAAACAACAAGGGTGGAGAGTTTTATTGAAAAAGTAAACAAATACTAAAGAAAAAAAGTGCAAATAAAAAAAATGCTAATAATTAAGTCTCAATTGTATATATGGAACATAAAGCTTGTACTAATCAATTACAATATTTTGAAAATCAAATAAGTCTTACATCATGCAACTGCTTCTACCCTTCTAGAACTAATCACAATATTTTGTACACGTTTTTGTTTTCCACATATAAGCAGCATGAGAACCCACGTCAGTGCATAAAACAACAAGGAAGCATGATAACTAATTGAAGAATGTTGCATACTTCTCTACCTAAACAAGAAAAAGGAAAAAATAAACAAAAGCCGGCCACAACCGATCGAAGCCAGATTATGGAGGCCTTTTCATTTTCATCACATCATTTTCACAATTTAATATGACAAACATGTTTAATGAATGGTTTAGTTTGGGTTCAATTGTTGTAACTTGCACCGTATGCAATACATATGCATGCATCTTGACAAGTATAACAAGCTATACGTCACCCTTGAGACTGACTTTCCATCTACAAAAATTATTTGTCACTATGAGATAAAATATGAACCAATAATTGACCAAAATAAATTGTTAATGGTGAGTGAAGTTGCTGGCTTATTAGTGCTTAGTAAGGAAGATAGATATGTGGCCCTTGAAGAGTAACTAACATGCTTGCACATCCATTTGATAGAATTAGGAAGATTAGGTTTTATTAGCAAACAATAGGTTGCATCATTTGAATTCATACAAACAAAACTATGATGCATGGTCGGTACCTTATCCTGATTTTATATGCATAAGGGTGTTTACCAAAGAGACAAGACTTAAACATTTGCAGGTAAGGTCACTGTTTTTACAACACTGATTTGTTGTCGACAAATAATTGCGTTGGTGTTTTAGGTCATATTTGTTTATACAAATTTATATTTAATGATTTACTTGATTATTTGTAGAATTCTTTTCATGACTAATAATAGTATTTTGATTTTCAATTTATCATAATAAAATAAAACAATTGATTAACAAATTGAAAAATAAAATAAGATTCTGAATTTAAACAAACAATATTAATGTTTATATTAATACAAGTACATAGCACTAGATAAAGGAGTTCTTCAATTGTAAGACTTATTTATAAATAAAAATATTATTTTGTTATATACACCATTTTTGTCAATCAGATAAATTTACTTAATAAACATTCTCTAAATTTTAAATAATTTTATCTAATTTTAACTCATTCATACGGGGAGTCCGCAATAAAATAGTATATTTTATTCCTAAACAAAATTTACGTAGAAAATGTTCTTAAAACATGTGTTTAAATACGTTAAAATAATATAATTTATTATTAAAAACTATTTAAGGAAAATACTCCAATCATAAATATAAATACATAATTGACATTTTTGCTTACTTTTAACGAATTTCAATTCTTATATATAAAATTTAGAGGCTTGAAAGGTAAATTAAAGATCAAGGGAAAAGTAAAGATCTACAAATAAAAAATTCATTTAAAAAGGAAAAATAACAATAAATGTGATACAAAAATATATATATAAAAAATAACAATCGAAAATAAAATAATTAAGATATATATATATATATATATATATATATATATATATATATATATATATATATATATATATATATGCAGTATAATTTATTAGAGTATCTTAGATGTGCCTGCTTAACAAGAAGTACATCTATATTTTAAATAACTATATTGAATCTAATCTTAATGGTAACTACAATTCTTAAAATGTTAGCAAAGTTGCTCAACTTTCTTTAACAAGAAAAATGAAAAAACAAATAATAAAAAAATTATTTGACAAAAAAATAATTTACCAAAATATTTTTAATTATCTAAATAATCAACATCTCAAATATTTATTAAAATAAAATAAATTTAAGATATTTTATATCATCAGTTTAAACGAAAATGAAATAGTAAAAAAACATATTTTTTTATAAAATAAAAAAATATTATAATTATAATATATAATATTTTTTTAAAATATTTTAAAATATTTTAAAATTAATTTATTTTTAATTTTGATTTTCTATTTTTTTAAAAGAAATTAATTTTATAAAAATAAAAATCTTTACAAATTTTAAAATCTTTTATATTATTTCAAGTTGAAATATTATATTAAATTAATATTTAATTATAATAATTAAATTATTTTAAGTAATCATGTGAAATATAAATAAAATATTTATAAAAATAAAAATATTTATAAAAACTTCGAAACAAAAAAATTTAAAATTAAAAAAAAATTATATAGAAATAGTGTGACATAAGAAATGTTATTTAAAATGATAAAGATGTTTTAACTCTAATATAATCATTTTTATGAAGAATATAACGTGGAGAGACACGTGATCTTATACAATGCTTTCCATAATAAAAATCGCTTTAATATTTTACAATTTCTATCTTCAGTGTAAGTAAACAATTATCATTTTTATGAGTCCCCTACTATTATGGCTCATCGATTATTTTGAAAAAAATAAAAAAATACTCCTTCTGCATCATACCCTTAGTTCTTTATGAGGAGATATATGTTCTGTCCTTTTACGTTATTTAAAAATTGAAGTAAATGACAATTTATAATATCTTATCTTTTAATTTATTGATATATTTTAAAAATAAAATAAAATTATAATTAACTAAAATTTTAAAATAAAAAATATCTTAAATATAAAAATTAATCTTAAAATATTGATATAAATACATAAAATCGAAATATCTTGTTCTTATTACTCGACGCACCTCTCTTTGGTTGATATTTGCCAGATATTTTTTTCATTCTTCCCAATAGATTAGGATTAAACATAAAATACTATACGAAACAACATTTCATCGACAACAGTGGAAATATGGTCAATTTTGTTTCGTAATCGTGTATTCTATATGAAATACTAAATTATCTGTGAATTTTGTTTGTATGTAAGGTCACGTCAATGATAAACATTGTTTGTATTAATTTTGTTAAGTCTGCTATCATTATGTTTATATTTAAAATTTCAATTTGTTTATAACTCGTTTTGCTAGCTTAAAATTTCGTGTGACACTAGTGGAAAAATAGCTTTCTATGATGGGTTTTTATCACGGTCGTAATCCACCCGTCATAGTATGTGGCGCGGTGGCAATTTTGTAATAAAATCATAAACTTTCTATGTCGGGTAAGTTTTAGCCGACATAGTAAGTGGAAAGGTCACTTTCTACGTCGGTTAAAATTTACCCGACATAGAAAGTTAACTTTCTATGTCGGGTAACATTTACCCGACGTAGAAAGTGAACTTTCTATGTCGGGTAAATTTTAACCGACGTAGAAGTGTCTTTGATGACGGGTGTTAGAGCAACCGACATAGTATCTTCTGTTTTACCCTCTTCCCGCGCTCCATTTCATTTCATCACTTCCCCCATAGCGAGCTCCCCTGTACGTTTCTCCCTACGCTCCATTTCCTTTCATCGGTTCACCCATACCGAGCTCCCCGTTCCCTTGTATACGTTTCTCCGCACCCACATTTGCTCGTCACGCCACCTCGCCAACGCTTCGTGCCGCCCGTCGCTACCGGTGCCCGTCGCCCGGGATACGTTTCTCCCCACCCAGCTCCGCACGTCACGCCACCTGCCACCTCTGTAGGTCTTCAAGAGGTAAGTTTTGGTGCTTGCTTTAGCCAATGTAGGTTTACAGTATTGAATCTAGTAAGTAATAATGTCGTCAAGAGAGGGAAACATCACGGGTGCCTTTAGCTAATTTAGAGATGTATTGTAAGTAGTTTAGTCATTTGAATGTGTTTCGTAGGCATTCTTTCGTGATTTTGATTTTGAACATTAGATTTGTATTATAATGTAGTTATTTTGAGAGTGGAGTTGGATTTCGTGTAGGCATTATAGTGTACTTATTTCGTGTTTACGTAGCTAATTTGATTTTGAAAATTAGATTTGTAACAATGGATCGGAGTTGGTTCAATTATAGACGAACAACAAATGAATATGAGAGTGGAGTAGAACAATTCCTTGAATTTGCTAAGATGAATGTTCCGGATAATGATGGAAGATTCTATTGCCCTTGTGTTAACTCGCTTGAATGAGCGAAGATTACCGATCGAAGTTATTCGGGAACATGTTCTTTGTGATGGTTTCCTAAAGAGTTACATAAAGTGGACATGGCATGGTGAATTATTAAACATGCCAAGTGTAGAAGACAAAGAAGAAGTTGATCTAGAGATGGATGATCGAGCTGGAGGAAATGATTCGTGAGCTTGGACAAGATGCCTTCCAACACACACATGTGTACGAGAAGTTGTCCAATGATGCAAAAGAGCCTTTGTATACAAATTGTACTAAGTTCACACGATTGTCGGCGGTACTAAAATTGTTCAATGTGAAGGCAAAGAATGGGTGGATCGATAAAAGTTTCACGAGAATTGCTTGAGTTGTTGAGTGACATGCTCCCTGAAGGTAACACATTGCCAACCCGCAATTATGATGCTAAGAAGATATTGTGTCCAATGGGTATGGAGTACCAAAAAATTCATGCATGTCCGAATGATTGTGTGTTGTACAGGAAAGAATTTGAGAACTGTCACGAATGTCCACAATGCGGGGAATCACGATACAAGAAGAAGGATGGTGATTCGACAATGATGTAATGAAGGGTACCCAGGCAAAAGTGTTATGGTATCTTCCCATTGTTCCAAGGTTGAAACGATTATTCACTAATGGAAATGATGCAAAGCCGACTAGATGGCATGCGGATAGTCGTATTAAAGATGGTCAGTTGAGGCATCCGTGCAGATGGATTGCAATGGAAAAAATTGATTCCATCTTCCGGAATTTTGGTAATGATCCAAGAAACATTAGGTTTGGACTTGCTACGAGATGGAATGAATCCATATGGAAATTTAAGCGATAAACATAGTTCATGGCCTGTGGTGTTAGTTATTTACAACTTACCTCCGTGGTTGTGTATGAAACGTAAGTACTTGATGCTATCTTTGATGATCTCGGGTCCCAGACAACCTGGAAATGACATTGATGTTTTTTAAGCCCATTGGTTGAAGAGTTGAAGATGTTGTGGGAGGAAGGTGTTGATGTGTTTGATGGGTACACAGGTGACTTATTCAAGTTGCGTGCAATGTTATTTTGTACAATTAATGACTTTCCAAGCATATGGTAATTTGAGTGGCTACGGCACAAAGGGACATAAAGCTTGCCCGATATGTGAAGAAGACACATGTCACTATCAACTACAACATGGAAGGAAAACGAGTGTACCTTGGACACCGAAGATTTCTTCCTTCAAACCATTCATATCGTAAATTAAAAAAATCATTTAACGGGTGTCAAGAAAATGATGCAGCCCCAACACCTTTAAGTGGGGAAGAAGTATATCAACGAGTAAGTGCAATTTCGTGTGAGTTTGGAAAGACGCAAAAGAAAGCCACGGGTATATGGAAGAAAATGTCAATCCTTTTTGTTCTTCCATATTGGAGGGTTCTTGATGTGAGGCATTGTATAGATGTCATGCATGTAGAGAAAAATGTGTGTGATAGTATCATCGGAACGCTCCTTAACATTCAAGGAAAAACAAAAGATGGTGTCAATGCTCGTTTGGACATGGTTGAAATGGGTATAAGAGAA